CTGGCAGGAAAGTTGACATTTTAAACCTTAATAAAAAAATTGATACAGGGCTTTAGAATATCGATGCAGTATCGGGAAATGAAATATCGCGATATTTCAGTGTATCGATATTTTCTTAGACTGCTACATAAAATAGAATGGTAATGTTCAGCGGAAAAAATTGAGTATTTTATTTATCATAACTCCCGTTTTATTTGGCCTATCAACATACTTAAAAACTGCTATAAGTCTGCTTTTAACACAAACTGAAACAGTCTCAGAGAAGATGTATCTTTCTGGCTAAATCGATTTAAATAGGTCATGTAACTTGACTCCAGAGGGTTAACATACCTTCATAATTTTTAAATACAATCTCCATATTTTAATACCGAGGTATACCACAGTACTGTGCTTAAGCCAAGTACACAAAATGCAGTCAAAAAACGGATTACTCAAATTTTGGATTAAAAATTGGCAATAAGTATTAGATTCCGCAATGGGAAAATATCAGACTTTGTGGAAAATATTTTACTGCAGGAAAAAGGATTGTGCTGAGTTGGTTGGACAAGCTGATAAAGTACAGGAAGTGTATTTAACACGTACTGCTCCCCATAACGTGAGATTTTACATGTCATTCAGCTTCCCAAGTGTCATGTCCTTTGATTTGTCCTTTTAAATTTTGACCTTTTCCTGCCCGAGTGTCATCCTATACTGCTAAAGAATCAGCTCCCAGCAGTATTGTGCGCAGTGTGGGCTTCCTGTTGTGCAGCGATTGGTACTTTTGCAGAGGGTGACTGCATCGTGTGCACTCTTGTAACAYTGTGCAGAGATTATGCATGTGGAGCAGATCATGGCTGATTATGGATAATAGAAAGGCTTGGATGGTCTAATCATGAAGGCTGACTTAACCTTAATATCATGATACGCCTTTACAGGGATTATCTGATGAATCTCAACAGAACAGAGAAGGTTTATCCACTCTGAATTGTTTATCTAAATATGTATATATCACACTTTAATCCAGAGTCGCACATTTTGAATATTGATATTTTTTTAGTGTTGTTTTATAACAGTTTTAAAATAACATCATTCAATTTACATGTGGTGTTTGCATCTTTGTTTATTGTTAAGTATTGTTAGATTAGTGAGGATTTCACTCAGGGATAGTTTGGATATTTTAAAGCGGTTCTGTGGAAATGTTATAAACCCACTGAAGATAGTTCTTGGAACAAATGTGAGGTTTTGGAGAAAGAGAGTTTAAAACAGGAGGAATCCCCCCTCTGGGTCGAGGGGGAGTCTTTGCCTCGGGTGAAGTTGTTCAAGTATCTGAACATCTTGTTTATGAGTGATGGTAGGAYGAAGCCAGAGATGGATCGACAGATCTGCCTTCATCCTCAGTAATGAGGGCGTATTTTCAGTCGATTGTGAAGAAAAAAGTCGAAAGGCAAAGCTCTTAGTTTACTGGTCCGTCTACTAGGGGTGCAACAATACACTGATCCACAGAGATGTACTGTATCCATTAAAAATTTAATGCTTTGATTACATCAAACGCAAACATTGTTCCACATCATCATCATATGCCCATCCATTTGATTGTGTTAGATGGGCATATGATATTGCATCAGAAATCCTCATCGTAATTGATGTATCACATTGTGATACAGGTATATATATATATAAGTTAAGTTTGGTATATTT